TATCTGGAAAAGGTAATGGGAGAGCCATAGACTTATGTTTATTATACCCCAGCACTGTAACAACTGCTATGGGATTAGGATACAGAACAGCATGGCACAGCAGAGGTCACATTTCCCTAGTGATTTAAAGTTTCAGTCTTCTGCCAACTTAATTTAGAAACACAAAGCCTACCTTTGTTAGAAGAGAATATTTTGACAGTATTTCAAGGCATGGCAATTAAATAACTATAGATCACAAATTTAAAATCTGGAGTTCATCATGTAGCAAACTGAGGAATACTTTTTTTATTTATTTTATTAACCTCTTGGTTAGATCAGCTTTGCATTCCTGGTCCTAAGTGATAATGTGCTTTCCATTAGTGTTCAGCATATGCGATTTTTAACACCCTGCACCAACAGGTTAATTAACCCTTCCAAACAGCCCACAGAGCCCACCTCACAAAGCTTTTGACAGTTCTGAACCAATGACACTCCACACTACACCTTTATTCAAAGGCACAAATATGCTGTTTCACTATAGTGTTTCTCCTGAAGATATTAAACACCTTCAAAAAAAAGCCCAGGGAAGTCCATTTAAGGTCCAACAGTCTCTAAGACCCATGATGCCTTGAGAGAATCAGTCAGCTCAGTGTGAGAAAAGGGGTGAACCAAGAATCCAGTGTGGCATTGTGAAATCTTGTTGATCTTATGTGTCTGCGCAGAACTCAGTATTATTTCTGTTCCGACAAAGATTCAGGAAAGATGCAAGACATCAGCTTTTTCCTGAGACTCAAGTATACATTTAGTCACAGGTCCAGTAATACAAGTATTTAATGTAGTTGTTTTCTTGATACACAATTATCAATTTAAAGAGTTGTCTGTGGTCTAGTGGTGGGCTATTAGTGAATGATGATGGCACAAAGAGCCAGAAAACATAAAAAAGTAAAATATAATGCTCTTTGGCCAGTGTTACATGAAACAGTTACCAGGGTCAACTTCTGCTGTTCTTTGGACACACATACACACATGCAGAGCTAAGGCAGGCAATACATGCATCAGAACCAACCAACCAAGGAAAACAAACACTGTGCAGTTGGCACCACAGTAAAATAGCACTTTGGATTATAGAGACTTAACTAACCAGTATCATCTGCATTTCAAATCTCCAGTACATTAACCTACTTTGCCCCACATGCCACAGTCATTAATATGCTGCAGCCAAGAGTTTCAGTTAATACGGGGTGAAAAAACAGGACTTTTTAAAAACAATGATTACAAAAATAAAAGCATGATTTCATGATGGTCTCTCTGAATCAGTCACCTAAATAAAGCTTCAATCAAGGAAAAGCTTAGCAGGGAAGCAATCATTCTTCTTTTTGTATGTGTAAAAAAAGACCAGAAACTACAAGTAAATAGCAGCTGAGCAACAGATGAGGCACTAAGTGAAATCTGTTAGCAACTGCTAACAGCTTTGCTATTTTCTGTTGTTAAATTAAAAAAAAAAAAGAGGCAAAAACCCAATGCAGTAGCAATTCCAATATGTTCAAAAATCTCAGATGCAAAAGACTAAAGCTCAACGCTTCTTGTACTACAGATAAATACCTGGGTTTGGTTTTAACATCTTGAAATGCTTTGTTATTGATTATAAGGCAGAAGCCAGCAAATTCACATGGCCATACCATCAAGGTAAAACTTTTTACAGCTGTATATGTGACCCAGCAAGACAGCACAAAAATCTAACCACAGACAAGTGTGACTTTTTCAGCAGCTGTTTTAGCCTCAAGTTCCACTTTCTTTTATCCTTTGACTTTTTCAGCAGCTGTTTCAGCCTCAAATTCTACTTTCTTTTGTCCTTTACACCTGACCCCATGTCATTTGCCAGAAAGTGCATGTGTCTTAATTAGCATTGCACTTTCTGGCAAGATCTCAGAAATATTTCCATTGTGCTGGTCCTGGAGCTTTCACCACAGATGATCACTTTCCGCTTATCTCAGGCCAATCTTGACATGGGTTCAGCAAGTCTGTTTTTCTGTTTGGATGCATCTACACAGTGCAGCAGCCCTATGCAGGCACAGCTGAAACAGCTCTGAACAAAGCTGCCCAAAAACTACACGCAGTATGAATGTAGCAGAATGGGGCTTCCAGCTCCTGCAAGGATCAATTAGTCACAGGGCTGCACTCACTGGATTAGTTTAAAAAAATCATGATATTGCCCAGTCCCAGGCAGATATATCCTTTTCCCTCTCTTGCCAGTTGCCATTGTAACTTATTTTCACTTGGCTCTTTCCTTCTGTCAGTCTAGCAAGAGTTTTGTTCCTTGTTCCTCCTTTTGGTGATCTCACAGCACAACCACCACTGTATCTACAACAGGCACACTATACATTTCCTTCTCCATTGAGCTTTCTGCTCCCTTACACTGTTTCCTTTTCTAATAGCTCCTAGGGCAGGTTCCCTTTCCAATTTAAATTCACCATGTCAAAAACTGAGCTCATCTCAGTTTCTATACACTTCTCTCTATTTCTTTCTCTTAAGCTACCAAGAATTAGTAGCCACGTTGCCTGCTGCAGAAGCTCACAACTTTTGTCAGCTTAAACTCCTCTCTTTCCTTCCACAGATGTTCTACCAATACAACATGCCAGTTTCATCCCCATAACGTCATAAAAAAATCTGGATGTTTCTTTCCATCCGTGTTGCTAAAATACTGGATCATTCAAACCTTCTTACTGCAGTCTCCTCCTCCCCAGCCATCCTGGCACCCCTCATCCTTCACACCAGTACAAAACTCCAGTTTGAAAAAACACCTTTTGAATCCAAAATTTAGTCGGTATTTCACCCATTCTAAATTCCACCATTAGTTTCCTATTATTTCTTTTAAAAACGTTCAGATTAATTGGCTTTGTTTTTCATGTCATACAAAGGAGTTTCTCCCTCAAAAAATACCAGTCTGGATTTGATCATCTCACGCAAGACATATGGTCCCCAATTCTTTTGTAAACTCACACTGTTTTCTCTTGTTCGATCTTTACTTCGCAGGTCAGCACCCTTCTTTCACATCTATCATAGCTGAGATTCCCTTGGACTCTCGCCTTTTCAAGAAGGAATTTCTTTTCAAGAACAGTTTTATAAATTCTAGAAAGAAACACCAACAAGAACGCAGAACCCCTAAAAGTCTCCCAGCTGAACTGTTAGCTCTTACCTACTCCTCCTACTCTGTTTATTATAACACGCTGCTTCCGTCTTTGTTGTTTTGTAGAGATTTGCAACAGTGTGGGAGAGAAATACCCATTCTTTGCTGCCATACAAATAAATATTATGAACAATTACTGTATGCTGGGAAGATCATCCATCTAAACCAAAGACAAACTTATGGAAAGAACAGATATATAAATCTCATGTACTATCAAAATGGGAAATACACTCTGAAAAAGGGAATCACTGAGAACGGTAACCTATCATTCCCAGCTTTGCATATTGACCATTATCAGAGTTTTTGTCAACTACAATAGCTTGTTTTAGATTCCCATGTTCCTTCTGGCTCAGGCATCATACCCCCCTTAGCAATTCATACTTTGAATCTGCCATATATCTGTTATATATGAAACAATACTTATCCTTTTGTCAGATCTCTGTGCCACTGCCCTTCTCTTCCCTATTCACACCAAAAAGTTAAAAAGAGAATGAAAATAAGGCACACAAGAGTCACCCACCTAATTATTCAGTGTTTTGACTACTGTTCTATGGTAGGCCTTATTTCTTTAAACAATGTGAACACAAATGCAAGTCTTCTCCGTATTCCTGAAGAGGCCCATTTGAAAGCAGACTGGTATACCCACGCACCTTCATCTTAGGAACACTGACACCTGCTGAAATGATGCAAATCTGGCACATAAACATGCCTATATATTTTTGACATATCTCTACAGAGTTCAAAAGTTGATAGGGCAATTTTTAGAGGATTCCTACTGCTGATACATGAAAGAAAGTCAACTATACCTCCCATTTTAATATACCACAAGTAATTTCACTCCAGAGGACATAGCAACAGAAAGCTGTAATGCAAGTTCATATATTAATGTCCTAATGAAGATCATTATCAGTGAATGATCTTGCAGATGAATGTCTCAGATTACTAGTTAAATGTAGCTTTGCCTAAACAACGACTGCGGCTTTTATACATATCTGGCTTGTCTACAATACAGCATGCCGAAAAACACCAGGAGCTGACATCAAGTGTTCAGGGCCACAAGTAACCACATGGCCATACAGTCTAACCTTCTCTAGGTGACCTTGAATTTCATCACATATCTTATATTAATTGCAAAGATATATTTAAATGGAAACAATTAATTCCTCAACAGAGTCAACAGGTACCTGAGGCAGGGGTGATAACAACCAGAGTGCCTACAGCACCACAGGTTCCAGCAACAGCAAGGAAACAGCCTGAAGGACTCTGATGATTCCAGAGTATATAGCCAGGGAACAAAGAGCCAGAGTAGAAATCCAAACACTTGCATGCTGGGCAAGGAGGACAGTGAACTTTTGTGCACCACAGGCAATGGCTGAAGCTACAAAGCAAAAATTTTATCATAGCCAGTGGTTTTCAGTAACAGCATATGTTATAGACTGTTTACAGTAACACAAGGAATCCTGCTCTCCCTGCAGCCCAGGAAGGAAGATAAGCAAGGCAAAGGTCTGAGTGTGGGAGCAGGTCTTGTATTACTCAGAAATATTCCCCACAAATCCTTCCCCACCAAAACACACTTGTTTTAAGCCTGAAAACCCTGAATCTTTTCTGACATATGGGAATGCATTTCAAAGGCACAAAAAGACATTTTGTCTGCCAAATGTCTCCTGCCGCAGCTACAAGTTTGGTGTAAAAGTATAAACTGCTTTCTTTCTCAATAACATTAACATTATTTGAGTCCAAGTGAAATAATTTTTCCACTACTTTATGAAAGCATCAGTTGTTTCCTATCTTATGATGAGAATGGGTGACTATTTTGCTTTGTAAAATGCCGTACCTCAACATGACCCCAAAGCCTTTCTTCTTTTTCTTTTCTGGATCTTCATTTTCTTCTTTCCTTTTCTTCTCCTTGATTTTAGATTTGCCCTTTTTCTTCTCTTTCTCTCTATTTTTTTTATCTTTTTTTGCTTTGCTTTCTGCATCTTCTGTCTCAGGGTTCCCCAGAGGGGCAGATTCCACATTCTGAGCTTCTTGACCACAGTGAGAGCTCTTATCAGAGAAACCATCTGCACAGAATGAAAAAGAAGCAGTGAGGATGGCTACGGGCCACTGAAATGCAAACACGTGAACTACAGCATGAGTGTCGACAAAGTGCTCAAATGACTCAAAACACTCATTTAATTGAATAGTTTAAGAAGCAGACTAAACAGATCTAGTGGATTCAAGCAGATTTGTATTGCAAATTAAATAGAGAGTAATTTTAGTTAATTGTTTTCTAGTTATTATTCCTGACTCAAAAATTCTGACACGGTAAAGCACTATTCTATTTGAAATCTAGCTTGTTAACCTCCATCAGCTCAAGAAAACCAACGTGCTAGGATGCAAACTTTGAGAGTTTACTTCAACATGAGATTCCAGTGACTGACATAACCAAGATACGTAGTAAAATTATTTCATTCGCTCCCTGGAATCTTTCTATTTCAATGGCTGAACAAGAAATAGATAAACTATTCTGTCTGGTTGGAGAATAGTTGTGCTGTTGCTATTTGGGGGGCTCAGCATCCAAGCACAGTTTTATGCTCTATGCTAAACGAGATGTATTTCCAGACTGGGGTTTATAAACCCATGGTGACAGAATGAGCAGCAGGGTGCTATCAATACACTCTGCCTTATCTACAACATGAAACAAATTTCCTGGTTGGAAAAGGGGGAATTGTAAAACAAGCAAGATAATTTTTAATGTAATCTGAAGAAAGCAGCTGCTTCTTGAAGTTGAAAAACATAATTATTTAAGGATTGAGTTCTAAATCCTCCAACCCACCCCTGCCCCAAAGGAGATCAGTGAAAGACTTTACACTAAACCCAGTCAAGGTTGGATGGGGTACTGCAAAGACAGCTCTATTCAGTGGAAGACGTGAGCAGCTTTTAAAATGTGATCAGCTTCAACTGGACTAAATCACTTGCTCATGGTGCTTTATTGAGCTGGGCCTCAGTGGTGCTAAGTGATGGTGGCTCCCTCAATAAGTGCCATTAGCGACATACCCTCTTCTCCATCTTCAGGTCCATCGTAAGACTTGTCGATGGCAGCTCGGAAACTCTCATTACATCCCCGACCCCGGACCACGTGAGGTCTGGGTCTGTGAAAAGGGAGTTCGTTCTTCCTAACTTCAGCCACGGCAGTCTGTAGGCTCTCAAGAGAACTGGACTTCTTTAATCCCAGAGTAGGGCCAAAATCTTTGCCAGAATAGTCTGGAAAAAAAATAGTTAAATTTTTATACCAAAAAGCACACAGAGAAATTAAACTAGTCAGATACATTTAATTGTGTTCTTTATTACTTGGGGCCTTTGAAATAGTATGCAATCAATGTAATTTGTTCTAAAAATAACATCAAGTTAAACCTAGTTCAGCAGATATCCCCATTCAGAGTTGGAGGGAATGGCACATAATTTACAGACCTGACAAAGTGATGTGCAACAGCTGGCTCACTCTGCACCTCTGTAAGGTCCGTGCCAGTGACAAGAATGCGGTTGCTTCCTCCACCACTGCAGCAATGTCCAACTGGACACTGCTAACAGTCTTGAGGACAGCATTATCTTTAGACTCACAAAAATAAACACTGCTACACAACAAGGGTTTTGCTTTTTAGAACGAGCAGGTTGTATGAATGGTTGATATTTTCAAACACATTTCTCCTGTGAGAAGATATTATTAGTTCTCTCAAAGTCTTATCCAACCTTTTTCTTTAAGCTGAAACTGGTGCTATGATGCCAACATGCACAGCAGGTTTTTCAAGAAACAAGCAAAGCACAGCTTAACGTAAAAGATGTTGTGGCCTCTTTCCTTGTTTGTAGGCTTAAGAAAGCACTTCATATAAAAACAGAGCAAATACCCTTCCAAGTCTCCCAAACCTTCCCTCTCTATGAATGCTTGATTATCTGACCTTAGAAAGGCTTTATTTTGTGGCAGCATTTGTGTTAATTAATATTAATAAAATTATAGTAGAATAAGTAAAGAACAAAGTTCAACGCATACATGCACTCCAATCAACGAAGAAACTCACAGCTTAATTTAAAAGCCTCTGTAGCATCTACTTAGTTTTTATATGGCAGAACAGTAAATGTGTCATAGAAACACTGAGGAAGAGACTTTGCCTTGCAATATGTCTTCTGTCTGTGAGAACACAAGTGCTTTTGCTTTCAACTTTTAAGTGATACTAACACAAGCAACGGGAGAACATAACAGAAGCCCTTCACCTACATGCCCACGTATTGTCACTCCTGAAGGGATTCAAGGGTCACAGAAAAGAGAGATACGTTAGTACTATACAACGTGATTTTACCAATCCTACAGTGCAGGTAATTCTGAACTAGTAAAGTGTGATCAGTGAATTTTAAAGAGGAAAAAAGCTAAGACTTGGCACCAAATAAAGACTTGTCAGTAGTGCCTACACAAAGCAATTTACACTTCCATTGCATGCAGACTGATATGTAGCTAAAAACAAGTGGGGGATTGGGTGTATGTGTAGTAATGTGTGGAGACAAAGAAGTTTAAGGGAAATCTGGCTGCTCGGTCACACAGTGCAACCTTCTTCTGTTCACTAATTGCCATTCTGGAGATTACCATTACTGCCAAATTAGCAAGTGCTAACACAGAGTAAGAGAAATGACTTGCATACAACATAAACATGCTTAAAATCACTAAAAACTTGTGCATCAGTAAGAGGCACTGTAGTGCCTGTCTCAGGCTGGGAAGGAGTAAAACCAAGGGGATCATAATGGGGTAAAAGATGGTAAAGTGAAAGCCACTGATCAGCAGAGAAAAAGCTTTCACACTTTTCAGTCGGCAGCCTGCTTTGGTGGGCTGTTGGGCAGGAGACAGGCACAGCAGCCCACTGGCAGGGCTACAGGCACCAGCCAGGCTGGGCCAAAAGCCAAGGGCTGTCAGGGGCTACAGCTCCCACTCTGCGGGCAGTGGGCACCCAGCACACTTGGTGCGTATCAATCCTCCAAGGAGGGGTATCCACTAGGGATGGTTTCAAGGCAACTACAGTGTCTCCAGGGAAGCGCTGGCCATGTCCCCGCCTCCCCACAGCTCTGGGAGGTCCAGCAGCTGGTGCCGACTCCAGGCTGCTTCAACAGCCACCTGTCCGGCCAAAGGAGCTGTGTATAAAGCCCACACAAAGGTATGTAGACGTTTATCCCAGTGTAAGGTGGACTGCACTGAATTACTGCCTAAGCTCTATTACCTGGAAAAAAAAAAAAAGTCTCAGGTTAAATGCTGGTTGGTTACAGCCTGTTTTATATAAAGTTGAGCCAATTACTCAGACTGGAAGACTACCCTTAACGTATAAAGGTCATTCCTACGGAAATCCAAGCCAACACCTAAAGTCTGGAGTGACACACTCACATGTTACACGGTCACACTATGAGGTGTCCTCATTTAATCAAAAATTTACTGAGACCCCTTACTCACAGATTAGTATTAAGCATTTACCTGACTCACTCTAAGAACGTAATAATTCAGTCTTAAACTTCACCAGCAACAGTGAGAACTTCATATTTTTTGCAATTCATCTTTTATTCCTTTTTCCCCCCCTTTCATCATAGGGCTGCAGCAATCACATATTAGAGCCCAGCTATAGGTACAGGAGCTGAGGAGCTTCCCTAAGCAGGAAGACCTGTCCCCTTGCTTTCTCAGCCAGCATCCATTATTGGGTGCTTCGCAGAGAAATGCACAAGACTTCGTAATGGACAAGTACCACGCCCCGACTAGGGAAATTTCCTTCTACTGCCCATTCCTTTATCTTTTCCATTTCTGCACACATTTAGAACTGCCTTAAGCCTGAAGACATGAATTTTTCCTCATGCGTAAGAAAACCTCCAACTCAACAAATAAACAAACCCTCTCATCTTTTACAAGTTATTAACAAGCATTCCTGGGACACACGGTGTGTGTCTGTATCTAGCCCTACCTGATTTTGAATACAGAAATATAGTTTGGCAATGAGAAGTTCAATTGTTTACTGTGCAAATATGCTTCTTTTTATGAATTTTAAATCCTTGAGCCCTCCTTTTACTGTTTCTTGTAGTACAATGATAAAAAGCCAACTGAAGCATCCACTTTATTATTTTTATAAATGGTGAATTACTTTATGCATCTCTACTGAATTCATGAGAGAAAACAACAGCTGATGTCACCACCTGCCTATGACTGGCTGAAACCAAATTGCTGGTTCTTAGTGGCATCTGTAACTGATCATCCTTTAACCAGAAGATGCTATTACACATACCTTTATTTTCTGCTTAATGCCAACATGGCTAACACAGATATTTATTTTTTTTCTTAATCTACCAGTAAAAGTAAACCTGCTTTCTGTTCTTTTATTACCACTATTATTGATTTTAGGTATTTCCAAGATTATCTTTTTGCCACATTTGCACATTCCTTTCTTCATTTTATAGCCCAGCAGAAGGAAATATGCCAAAACCAAGATGTCAGTCATGAAAATCAAACGGAAACAAACGACACAGCCTTGTGGGCAATGCAAGTTACCCCAAAGGCACGTGCAGAGAGTGGAAATAAGAGAAGCCATGAATCGCTGCCACTCTATGTGAAATACAACTCCTAAGACACTCTAAAGAGTAAACAATTTATATATTTATCATTAACTTTATTTTTCAGGTGTTTCTTCTTGAAAACCAAAATTGTAGGAATATGTCTAAAGGAGAATATTTAGAGGAACACATCTGTGTGAGCTAGACTAATTTACTTTTTACATTTTGAAAGATACAGTGAGGTAAAAAATAGCTATAAAGGAAAAAATAAGGAAAAGCATCACTGAGACTGAGAAAATTAGAATAAACACTAAGTTTATAAATAATTTGGCTCTGTTTTTACTACATTCCTGGTTCCTATTGCATTGCACACGATGGAGGTTCATGTGGTACTAGGGAAGAGAAAATGGTTATGAAAACAATGAGTCTTCTGCTCTGTGCACACTGGGATGCTGGAGAGAACACACGACTGCTTTTACCAGGCAAACAACTGTTTGATCATGAAGCACTAATGATGACTTCTTTAGTGGTAGGACTCAGAGTGAGATGTGCCAACAGCTTCTAGGGAAGCAGGCACAGCTCAGTGCCTGTTCTGCTTTGGACACACATCCTGAATAACATTCATGGTGCCCAACTCGGCCTCACTGAACTCGGGTCTTCCTCAGCCTAACTGATCTAACTGCTCACTCTTTTTTTTATTGCAACATAACATGGGGACTTAGATTACTCCATGTTCCATTCTTTCTGAAGCATTTTGTTTCATGTAGTTTTATTTATTTCTGGTAGGACTCACAGTATGCACGACTACAAAGGATTTTTCCCTCTCGCTTTTATTTTTATATTCAGATACTTCCTCTATCATCAATCTATTCAATGCAGAGAATGATGTGGGAAGGAGGAATCTGAAAGTCATTACATCATTTAGCTTGTGATTTTCAAATGAAGAGCTCTAATACAACATTTTTGCAGAAAAACCTTTGATTACACTGTAGCCTTTTCTTCAACACTAGTTTATACAGGTAGCACAGAAAAGATTGTGAAGGGCTTGATAAAAAGCAAGAGAAAAATCACTATCTTGCACTCCCATATTAAAGACAACATATATTGTCTGGTTCATTTTATTATACCTCAATCCAAGCATTCCAAATTAGAAGCAGAAATACTGAATGCAGAACAACCCCACACCTGACAGAAAAAAAATCTAATAAGGAGAAATCAAAGCATGGGAGAATTTAACAAGTTCTCTGATTAAAAGAGCCAGCTACAGTCTTCAGATTTACAGATATTTCAATCTATTTTACTACATATAATGATTGCAATTTAGCCCACATTTGCACAAACTGCAATTTCAGCTATGAATAATGACAGTTCACAATTTGGGGCCCAGAAGGTATGCTGAGCTTTAGCCAGCTGAAAATAAAATGCTTGGAATAAGGCAGCCATTTGACAAGAGGTGAAAATGCACTACTGTCACCTTAGAAACCTCCGCTCATCTCACTCCTTTCTGTAGACTTATCACTAACAAACAACACTGCAACAACACTGCAAGGAAATGTGTTAGTATTTCAAAAAGAGTATGTACGGCATTAAACGTCAAAACCGCTAACGAGTTCCACAGTGCAACAATATTAAACCTAAGAATTGGGAACAAAAGTAGAGGTTCAAGCAAAAGCCTCAGTGAAATGGCACATGCA